CTCCCCCTCACACCCATTCCTCCCCTCTTACTTTCCCCAGGCTTCCCCTTTATCTTGTTCTTCCCCTTATACTCGCCTTACCTCCGTATTCTTTTTCTCTTGCTTCTGCCACTAAATTTCCCCTCCATAAACTTTCTCCTCCCTTTTTCCAGTGCCTTGAATTCATAAGTTACTCCATTCCGTCTCCTTCCCTTCCCCTTTCACACCTCCTGTCCTAAAGAAAGATGTCTCACGCACTGATATCGGTCTCCCAATCAAAGAAAAGTATCCTAATTAAGGATGCCTCTGTCCGAACTCATAAAAAATCATACACTGTACACTAAGATACCCTACAGTGCACCCTAGGATACCCTGCAGGGTAAAGTAGGATATCTTAAACGGGTAAAATAGAATAACTTACAGGATTCGGTAGTAATCGCAACAAATCGCTTTTCAGGTTATAATAGGATATCCTGCAGGATATAGTAGGATATCTTGCATGGTACAGTAGGATAACTTGAAGGGTGAAATAGGATAACTTAATGGATAATATATGAAATCCTACAAGGTAAAGTATGATATTCTATTGTCTCCTGATCAAGTTTAAAAAATACATCCGAGAAATACAGTACATTGTTCATTGTACCTGCTATAGTCCTGCCGTCGAAGAAAACATGCTGCGAACATTAATTAAAATATATAGTATTAACCAACATTTATGAACATCCAAGAAATTAATAATTGTAGCATTAAAATATTAATTAAAATGGGAGCTACTGATTATTCAGTGTTTGATATTTAATTTTTAAACCTTTCATTGTCACGAACATAACAACGAAGATCAAAACATAAAGGAAATGTCTGGACCATAATGTAACTATAAATAACCTCGTATACAAAGTGTAATATCAACAAATTAGAATAATTACCTTACTAGATCTAATTAAAACTCTGTAACTATATATACAACAACAACCATAACTAACGGCCGCTGCCCAGCTCTGCTGTTGTTTTTATTCAACAAAAAGGAAAAAAATTCTCATCTTCCGCCGCTGTTGACGCGGCAACAAACGGCATCCTGTTGAGAACTCCTTGTGCTGCTGTTTTTTGTTGCCGTCGTTGATTTGTTGTTGTTGTTGTGTGAGTAGGATGCCTCCTAGAGGGTCCTTTGTGAGGAGTAGGATTCCGACTGGACCTCGCAGGAGTACGAGTAGGATTAATGGAAAAGAAGGAATATAGGATGCAAAATATAAATAAAAAGATGGGGTGAAATATTAATAATGAGATAAGGATTGATTCTGATGTCATCACTCCTCCTGTCACCACACCTCCTGTCACCACACCTCCTGTCACCACACCTCCTGTCACCACACAACTCCTGTCACCACACCTCCTGTCACCACACCTCCTGTCACCACACCTCCTGTCACCACACCTCCTGTCACCACACACCTCCTGTCACCACACCTCCTGTCACCACACCTCCTGTCACCACACCTCCTGTCACCACACCTCCTGTCACCACACCTCCTGTCACCACACCTCCTGTCACCACACCTCCTGTCACCACACCTCCTGTCACCACACCTCCTGTCACCACACCTCCTGTCACCACACCTCCTGTCACCACACCTCCTGTCACCACACCTCCTGTCACCACACCTCCTGTCACCACACCTCCTGTCACCACACCTCCTGTCACCACACCTCCTGTCACCACACCTCCTGTCACCACACCTCCTGTCACCACACCTCCTGTCACCACACCTCCTGTCACCACACCTCCTGTCACCACACCTCCTGTCACCACACCTCCTGTCACCACACCTCCTGTCACCACACCTCCTGTCACCACACCTCCTGTCACCACACCTCCTGTCACCACACCTCCTGTCACCACACCTCCTGTCACCACACCTCCTGTCACCACACCTCCTGTCACCACACCTCCTGTCACCACACCTCCTGTCACCACACCTCCTGTCACCACACCTCCTGTCACCACACCTCCTGTCACCACACCTCCTGTCACCACACCTCCTGTCACCACACCTCCTGTCACCACACCTCCTGTCACCACACCTCCTGTCACCACACCTCCTGTCACCACACCTCCTGTCACCACTGTTGCCAGTAATTAAGCTGTCACCACACACGGCCCGGCAACAAATCGCTTTTCTTCGGCGACTGAAAAGCGAAATTAAAGCCCCGGCCGCACGCCCCTCGTGAGTAATGGGCGCTGTCGCCCACCGCCCACGCCTGTCTCTGCGTGTCGCCCACCGCCCACGCCCGTCCAGGCTTGTCGCCCACCGCCCAAGTCTGAATCCCACCGCCCACCCCCGTCTCTGCGTGTCGCCGACCGCCCACGCCTGTCTCTGCGTGTCGCCCACCGCCCACGCCTGTCTCTGCGTGTCGCCCACCGCCCATCTCTGTCTCTGCGCGTCGCCCACCGCCCGCCCCTGTCTATACGTGTCGCCCACCCCTGTCTCTGCGCGTCGCCCACCGTCCGCCCCTGTCTGTACGTGTCGCCCACCCCTGTCTCTGCGCATCGCCCACCGCCCACCCCTGTCTCTGCGTGCCGCCCACCCCTGTCTCTGCGTGTCGCCCACCGCCTACCCTTGTCTCTGCGTGCCGCCCACCGCCCGCCCCTGTCTCTGCGTGTCGCCCACCGCCCGCCCCTGTCTCTGCGTGTCGCCCACCGCCCACCCCTGTCTCTGCGTGTCGCCCACCGCCCACGCCTGTCTCTGAGGGTCGCCCACCGCTCGCCCATGCGTGCCGCACCCTATTGCCCGTCCCATTGCGTCCCCTGGCTTCTGTCCCTGTGTCGCCCCTTGGCGTCCATTTCTGTATCGCTCCTTGACGCCCGTATCTATGTCGCCCCCTGGCGTCCATTTCTGTATCGCTCCTTGACGCCCGTATCTATGTCGCCCCCTGGCGTCCATTTCTGTATCGCTCCTTGACGCCCGTATCTATGTCGCCCCCTGGCGTCCATTTCTGTATCGCTCCTTGACGCCCGTATCTATGTCGCCCCCTGGCGTCCATTTCTGTATCGCTCCTTGACGCCCGTATCTATGTCGCCCCCTGGCGTCCATTTCTGTATCGCTCCTTGACGCCCGTATCTATGTCGCCCCCTGGCGTCCATTTCTGTATCGCTCCTTGACGCCCGTATCTATGTCGCCCCCTGGCGTCCATTTCTGTATCGCTCCTTAATTGGCGCCCGTATCTATGTCGCCCTCTTGCGCACATCCATGTGTCGCCCATCTGGCGCCCGTTTCTGTATCGCCCTCTTGCGCCCGTCCATGGCACCCGTCCCTACGCGTCGCCCCTCTGCATGGCGCCCGTTACCGCGCAATGTCAGCGCCCACTTCTGATCAATTAAATTCAAAATGAATTCGTAGGATGAATGCTTTCATTCACGCGTGAATGTCGTGTGTGTTGTGTATGTGGTGTGTAATGTGTGGGGCTGATGAGACCACACAGGAGGCCACACATCACCGTCCCTGTGTATTCCTTGTTTTAATTCATCTGAGTTAGATTTTTCTCTCTGATTGTTGTTTATTCATCTTCTAATTTCACTATTTTTATCAACTTTTATGGTACATTTTATATAATGTATCTCTCTATACATTTTTTTATTTTCAATTCGTTCATATTTTTTATTAATTTGCCATTCATTCTTCCTTATGACGTGTTTTTTTAGACTTTCACTTTTCTGCATTTGACATTCATATGATTTATCTTGAGTCTTTTACAATCGTTTTTTATTCCCTGTGTAGAAAATTTTCCACCATTGCATCATTTTGTTCGTTTCTTGAACATTGATTTGCTAAAATAATATGATAGGTTTAAATTCAATCTAGTGTAAGTTTAATGTTATGGTACAGAATGATTCACGAAAACTTCATATTTTGTAATTCGCGGCAAGCAGCCAGATATTTATCAAAATTCATATGTATATATGAATTATATATTATTTATATATTATGTATTTCATATAAAAGACAAGGTCATGAAGTTTTTGTGTCCCGACTAGTCAGTTGCCACTATGCATTGGACAAGTGAGCAGCATGCGTTTGCTGTCGAAGAGTACTTTTGTAATGCATCTTTTTATACATGTCTGTTATTCATATTTTTCTAAGCTTAAATGATACACATGATTACCATGGGTCAATTATATATTTAGAATCATTATTCAGTTATTCTATCTTACCGCTTAATAATTAATTAAATTAACACCACTCATTGCGTTTCAACTCACAACTTAATTTGGAGCGTTAATAAGAAAACGCTCCTTGACGCCAAAATTCAACTCTGATGTGCGTTGAAAAGTTTCAAAAATTTAGCTTCAACGTTTTTTAACGTTTCTTAAAATGTTTCAACGTTTTAGTTCAAAGTTTTTTCCAGCGTTTCTTCAACGGTTGTTGTAAGGTTTGTTTGGCGTTATTGCAACGTCCGTTCAATAGTTGTTTAAACGTTGAATATGAGAATTTCCTGGAATGTGGTGACTGCACCACAGTGTGGTGACAGCACCACAGTGTGGTGACAGCACCACAGTGTGGTGACAGCACCACAGTGTGGTGACAGCACCACCTCCCGCCAGGAGGTAGACGCCCTCTTTAATTACCTCTAAGAGATCTTCCTCCGCCCCCCCCCTCTCCCCCCTCCTACCCTCCTCCCCCCCTGTCCCCCCAACTAGAGCATAGAGAGAGGGGTGGAGAGAAGGTAAGAATAGTTAATATTTTAAGGATAATTGTTTGTTGAACTAATATTTTAATGAGGGAAATATATCGTCATCTGTTCGTTTTGTTGCAGTTGCAGCGGATGACAGTTTCAGCTTCAGTTACCATTACAGTTACATATACATTGGATAACAGTTACACTTACAGTGGATGGCAGTTACTTTGGATGCCAGTTACAGTGGATGACAGTTACAGTTACAGCTACAGATACACTCACAGTTACAATTACAGTTACAGTTACAGTTACAGTTACAGTTACAGTTACAGTGGATGACAGTTACAGTTGCAATGGATGACAGTTACAGTTACAGTTACAATGGATGACAGTTACAGTTGCAGTGGATGACAATTACAGTTAAAATGGATGACAGTTACAGTTACAGTGGATGACAGTTACAGTTGCAGTGGATGACAGTTACATTAACAGTGGATAACAGTTACAGTCACAGCTGCGTCGCGCTATCTAGGCCGGCCATGATATGTACTGACGCTGCAGATCTCTCCTAAGATCGCAAGAGATCGTCAAGAATCGTTAAAGATCGTCACGGGGAAGCTGAACAACTTTCCCCACCGCCGCCCCGTGAGTAATTAATGCGGGGGACACGCCTTCTTATTTACTTAATGAGGCCCGTAGGAATAGCATTAGGGACGAACCTCATTAGGAATAGCATAGCGTGCACAAGTGTGCCGGCATGGCAGTAAAGGCTTAACCCACAACTCTGGTAGGAATAGCATTATGGATAAGAGGACGCGTGTGCCGNTTTTTTCTTCACTGATAAGCTTTCCACTTTACTGATAAGTTTTTCACTTCGCCGATAAGTTTTTCACTTCACTGATAAGTTTTTCACTTCACTGATAGTTTTTACTCCACTGAGGAGTTTTTCACTCCACTGAGAAGTTTTTCACTCCACTGATAAGTTTTTTACTTTACTGATAGTTTTAAACTTCATTGATAACTTTTTCACTCCACTGATAAGTTTTTCACTTCACTGATAAGTTTTCCCTTCTCTGATAAGTTTTTCATTTCACTGATAATGTTTTCACTTAACTGATAAATTTTTCTCTTCAGTGATAAGTTTTTCACTTCAGTGATAAGTTTTTCACTCCACTGATAAGTTTTTCACTTCACCGATAAGTTTTTCGCTTCAGCTAGTGACAAGTTTTTAACTTCACTGACAATTTTTTCACTTCAGTGACAAGTTTTTCACTTCACTGATAAATTTTTCACTTCTCTTGTAAGTTTTTCACTTCACCGATAAGTTTTTCACTCCACTTCATATCTGTCTCTTATACACATCTGGGGGGAGGGGGGGCTAGATAATGTTAAGAGGTTTTCCTTCTTCCAAATTACGATTTGTACATATTTAAAAATTTCTCAATTTCATATAAAATTCAAAATCATGCGCTCATGTTACTCATGCGCATGACGTCAAGTGTATATACGAACGCATAATCGCATGATATGCGTTGCGTTCATGTCGGTAGGTCTTTATAATGAATAATGTAATTAATATATTCAATTTATTTGATTTATTTAACGAAACTATTAATAATAATAATAAATAATTAATTATACCTAATATAAGCAAGCGTAATCATCATTAAATATCATCGTAACCTTAATAAAAAAACACGTTTTCAATATCGATATGGTGAATTTTCGTGGCGTTTTCTTTGCTTTTAAATTCCTTGTGAACTTACGATATAAGCAAACTAATAATATAAGTACTAATAAAAAAAATTATCAGCGAGTCACGGACGGTTTAAAGGCGGCCGACCAATGGCTGGCGGTCTGAGGAATATCCTTCATATATACACTCATAAAAATCAGCTGGACCTTGTCCAAATAGCGATGCAGAAATAGCCCTCGTGAGGGTCATCCTGACCAGGGTCTAAACTTTCAAAAAAAGTTAAGAGATCGTAAGTTCAGCAGCCAATCATTGACGGCCTTTCAAGCAAAATCCACCAATCATAGACAAGAAAATAGAGCGTAAGTACTTACGTTCACTTAGCGAGTTTTGTAAGTATAGGCCCTGCCTGACTCATCTTTTCTTGGCTTGTGCTGTGGGTGAAAAAGTGAGTCACTATAGGGATAATAAGATCCATTCATTTTACTTAGTGTATGTATAAATGTGTGTGTAATTGTATTGTTTAGAATGATTTTTTGGCAGGAAAAATCTACGATGAAGCAGAGACGAACTTTGAGGAGCAGAGACGAACTTTGAGGAGCAGAGACGAACTTTGAGGAGCAGAGACGAACTTTGAGGAGCAGATGCGAACTTTGAGGAGCAGAGACGAACTTTGAGGAGCGAGCAGAGACGAACTTTGAGGAGCAGATGCGAACTTTGAGGAGCAGAGACGAACTTTGAGGAGCAGAGACGAACTTTGAGGAGCAGAGGCGAACTTTGAGGAGCAGAGGCGAACTTTGAGGAGCAGAGACGAACTTTGAGGAGCAGAGATGCCTTAATTACGGAGCAGAGATGAACCTTTTGGAGCAGAGACGTGCCAGTGAGCAGAGACGACGCGTGACGAGGAAGTCCAATTGAAGGAAAAGGTCGACGAGCGCAAGGCGAGCAGAGGGCGTGTCGGCACCTGCTGCTGCATCTGCTGCACCTGCTGCACCTGCTGCTGCACCTGCTGCTGCACCTGCTATTACACCTGGTGCTGTACGTACAGGTGTACGAGCTAGTACTTCAGCTGCAGCAACTGCTGAGGCACCTGCACCTGCTTGTGTACCAGCTACAAGTGTTGCAATAGCACCTACTGCTGCATCTGCTGCTGCATCTGCTGCACCTGCACCTGCTATTACACCTGACAACGGACCTGTTCAAGCTGATGCTGCTAAACATGCTAGTGCACCTGCTTTTGCATCTGTTCCAGCCATTGCTGCAGCACCTGATACTGCAACTGATATTGCACCTGATAGCTGACTAATTATATCACTATAGAGCTCACTGAATGTATTATTTCACTTAATACCCAAAACTTTTTCACTTCACTGATAAGTTTTACACTTCACTGCTAAGTTTTTCACTTCACTGATAATTTTTTCACTTCACTGATAAGATTTTCTCCTCACTGATAAGTTTTCCTCTTCATTGATGATAAGTTTTTCACTCCACTGATAATTTTTTCTCTTCACTGATAAGTTGTTCACTTCACTGATAAGGTTTTCACTTCACTGATAAGTTTTTCACTACAAAGATAAATTTTTCACTTCACTGATAAGTTTTTCACTACACTGATAAGTTTTTCACTTCGCTGATAAGTTTTTCACTACACTGATAAGTTTTTCCCTTCCCTGACAAATTTTTCACTCCACTGATAAGTTTTTCACTCCACTGATAAGTTTTTCACTTCACTGATAAGTTTTTCACTTCACTGACCAGTTTTTCACTTCACTGATAAGTTTTTCACTTCACTGATAAGTTTGTCACTTCACTGCTAAGTTTTTCACTCCACTGCTAAGTTTTAAACTTCACTGATAAGTTTTTCACTTCACTGATAAATTTTCCACTTTACTGATAAGTTTTTCACTTTGCTGATAAATTTTTTACTTCACTGATAAGTTTTTCACTTCACTGATAGTTTTTACTCCACTGAGAAGTTTTTCACTCCACTAATAAGTTTTTTACTTTACTGATAGTTTTAAACTTCATTGATAACTTTTTCACTCCACTGATAAGTTTTTCTCTTCACTGATAAGTTTTTCACTTCACTGATAAGGTTTTCACTTCACTGATAAGTTTTTCACTACACAGATAAATTTTTCACTTCACTGATAAGTTTTTCACTACACAGATAAGTTTTTCACTTCGCTGATAAGTTTTTCACTACACTGATAAGTTTTTCACTTCCCTGACAAATTTTTCACTCCACTGATAAGTTTTTCACTCCACTGATAAATTTTTCACTTCACTGATAAGTTTTTCACTTCACTGATAGGTTTTTCACTTCACTGATAGGTTTTTCACTTCACTGATCAGTTTTTCACTTCACTGATAAGTTTTTCTCTACACTGATAAGTTTGTCACTTCACTGCTAAGTTTTTCACGCCACTGCTAAGTTTTAAACTTCACTGATAAGTTTTTCACTTCACTGATAAGTTTTCCACTTTACTGATAAGTTTTTCACTTCGCTGATAAATTTTTTCTTCACTGATAAGCTTTCCACTTTACTGATAAGTTTTTCACTTCGCCGATAAGTTTTTCACTTCACTGATAAGTTTTTCACTTCACTGATAGTTTTTACTCCACTGAGGAGTTTTTCACTCCACTGAGAAGTTTTTCACTCCACTGATAAGTTTTTTACTTTACTGATAGTTTTAAACTTCATTGATAACTTTTTCACTCCACTGATAAGTTTTTCACTTCACTGATAAGTTTTCCCTTCTCTGATAAGTTTTTCATTTCACTGATAATGTTTTCACTTAACTGATAAATTTTTCTCTTCAGTGATAAGTTTTTCACTTCAGTGATAAGTTTTTCACTCCACTGATAAGTTTTTCACTTCACCGATAAGTTTTTCGCTTCAGCTAGTGACAAGTTTTTAACTTCACTGACAATTTTTTCACTTCAGTGACAAGTTTTTCACTTCACTGATAAATTTTTCACTTCTCTTGTAAGTTTTTCACTTCACCGATAAGTTTTTCACTCCACTTCATATTGATTGATTTTGCTATAGTAAATCGGGGTTCGCGGGGAGCGTTGTCCACCCGATCATTTGTGATCATTTGTCATCATCGTTGAAATAAATTGAAGCGTAGCACTCAGTACTTCTACGGGTATCATTTTATGCTCTATTGAGTATCACTTAGTGCTTCAGAAGTATCATTTGTGCTTCCCAAGTATCCCTTTCGAAGTACAAAAGTATCACTTTCGCCCCAAAACGCATGTTTTCACGGAAGTGCATTTCGTGTTGACAGTCTGTATGGCTGTGTGGCCGCATCTGTGTGGCTGTGTGATTAATGGGCAGCAGCACGCAATATCTTGTTTGTTTTAACTCACACAGATTTAAAATTAAATCCTCGTATGAATTATTTTAACTTTTCTACATTTGTTCAAGCGCATAACGTTTCTTATCAACAATTTTTAGAACTTGAAAGTTGTATGAGTTGAAAGTTGGATAACACAAAAGTTGACTAAGTTAAAAGTTATATAAATAGAAACTTTTACGAGTCTAAACTTGGATGAGTTTTAAGTTGAGCAACTAGAATTCTGCGAAACTTCAATGTGTCTTCGCTGGAAAGTTGTATGACATAGTATCTTTGTAATTAAAAACTTTTAACACTAAAGCTGGGTCTCTTGCAAGTACTAAAACTTTAAATTTGTGTAACTATACATTTATGTGATAAAAAAGTTTTGTAATTTGATCTTGGATAACTGTGAAACATTTTAATTCGAAAATTGTATACTCGGAATCTCAATATATTTATAGTTGTAAACATTGGAAGTTTCAATGGGTCAAAATTTATTAGCTTGAGAATTTACCTTTTAAAAATAGCATGAACTGAAATTTGTTTCTTTTGAAATAAGTGTCACTTAAACGTTGCATAACTCGCAAGTTGTTTAACTTAAACATTGCAGAGCTCGAAAGTGGTGGAGCTTTAAAGTTTAATGGTTTGGAAGCTCTGTAACTGTAACTGCATAATTGTCACTAAATGCACAATTGGTCGCAAATAATAACGGCCCCGCAGTGCTGATTTGCACAGCTAAGAAACTTTAATTTGAGTACAAATGAGGCAGCGTTCAAGATACAGTAACTCAAGGGATAAGATAAGATAAAAGATAAAGAATAAACTTCCATTATGGTCACTCTTAAAATGAAGTCGAAGCGAAGGTTGAAAGGTGCGCATGAAAAAAATGCCTAACACACACATTATATTATCATATAATATTTCACATTATATTAAAATATGATTTGAAAAATAAAATACCGATGTGAATGTACACAGATTATATCTTAGCATACATGATACAACAATGCATTAATTCATTTCAGGTATCCGTTAACAGAATTAAGTAATCTTCTAACACAATAAATTATCACATTAATTGAATGCATTATTAAGTTAATTTCTATTCATTTTTTTTAATTTCAATAAACATTAAGTTCGGAAAATTTTGAATCATTTCACTTTTATTTTTATTTCACATGAAAATTCGCGAGCCGCTGATCTCAATCATTGATGCTTGCTATCGTCCACCGTCTGCACTGCAGTGGACGACAAAAATTAATGAACAAAAATTAATGAATCGATGATATCAGCGGCGAGGGTAATAGCTTTATGGGCGTATTATCGGCGTCCCAACGCCGGCCATCGATGATACGTCCATACATGACACGTGGCCACCGATGATACGGCCAATGATACACTGACCGACGGCCAGAAATAATATTAGCTGTTGCCACGAACGAATTCAATGATACAATGGTTGTTGATTTTAAAAAATCTTTTCGATTTGAATTTTTTTAACCGAAACGAAGTTTGCGGCCATCAATGCCAACGGAATTGTGATAGAGAATATTTGATTACATGGATTAATTATTTAAAATGTTTATCTCTATATTGTGAATAGTTAATTAACTGATTATCTGTTTACATGAATACGAAGACTCAACTTTATTTATAGTTTATCGTCTCTTTTTCTGACATAAGGAATTTTTGCTGCGTTCATCAAATGATATTTTTGGTTACTATTTACAATGGCGTGCGCAGTGCACGGTGCAGTGCACGGTGCAGTGCACGGTGCAGTGCACGGTGCAGTGCACAGCACGCGTCGCCGTTACGTCGCCGCGGTGACGCCCGCAATTTCGCCGCGCGAGCAGAACGGCGACCGCAGCGTCGCGATCTCAAGAGGATCGCGTCTTGTAATTTGATTATTTTCTTGAACGATTTTATTAATTACACTCAAATTGCACCATAAGTTTCAAATAATATCAATGGTATCAATAAGTAATTTTAAACTTAGGTTTTAATCTCTAATTAGACGGGCTAGGTATAATTTTTTAAATACAGTATATAAGTTAGCGGCTATCTATTAACAATGTATTTTACCGAAATACATGTTAAAGGTACCCCCATATCATATTACTCAAAAATTGATAAAATAAATTTTGTATTCATTTTTATTTAAAATCTTATTTTAAGAAGCGTGATGTGTAGTGATTAATGTTTACTCAGAAATGCTGAGTTGCGATCTATAATCACCATCAAGGTTAACGACTCACCTTAGTCACCAGGAAGATAACGAGTAGGTTTAATTGCCGTCCTGGATATAGGTCAATTAGTTCCATTATATCCATTAGATACATTTGGGTGCATTGCAAGTCTAGTGATATTTCCCACGCATGTTTGGCTGCGTTTGACGTACGGCGTCACTTCCGCGTCCGACTTACAACGCAATCTAAGACGTTTATTTAACGTTCCTGGAACGTTTCTGTCATTTTTATATGTTTTTTT